TTGGCGGGAAAAAATCAGTTTTGCATAACAATATGGAAGTATCGTTCCAATCACTGTTATGTGCCAAATTAAAAACGTCAATGAACTTAGTTGTATGCTATGTATAAGAGATTGTTGTTGTATACTGTGTATAAGATACATAGTATAAGAGATTCCTATGTAGTATAAGAGATTCGAGCGAACTATAATAAGTCTGTGTCATTAGCTTGTCAATGTATAATGATGTATAATCGAAGATTCGATACATTTAGATTAAGATATGTTTAGGGTGATTTGGTCTGCGATTAGTCGGGTTTACCAAAACTTGTTAACATGAAAAAGAAAAATAGAAATCTGAGACAGAAATGAGGATTAAGGATAAGAACAAAATATCTTACATTTATATAAGACTTTATGTATTTTTACAAAGTAACATACAAAAAATTGTCCAACTATAATTTCCCCCACTTCCAGATTCGACTTGCAGAGCACTTTTTTTGTTTGTATTTAAAAAAGGAGACCCTTGCGTGCCCATAATAATCGCCCACTCAATTAACATAATTGCCGAGAATGAAAGCTTTAAATAATTCATTTTTGTTGCTTTTTTATATTAAAGTTTTATTTATTCTGGCAAAATTATAAAAAAATATATTCAAGAAAATGTAAATATAATTTGATGACATTAAAAAATATTTGTATTATATGTAATGTAAAAAATAATTTACATCCCCTCCTAAGTTATATTTACATCATTTCTCATCACCTTCAGGAAGTTTACAACTAGTATCTAACTAGATTAAAAAAATAATAATTAAAAAATAATACTAATATAGGGAAGTGATGTCCACCATTCGTCCGCTCAATTGGGCCTCCCAGAAATTAAAATTAATTTTTATAAATTTTAATAAAATAGGTGAAATAAAATGGTAGTTTCCGATATGAGTGGAAATGCCTTTTAAGTCCAAGGCTGTCAATTAATAAACTATGTAGTTAAGGGATAATGCAATGCCTCATTTATGTATGATAGATTTAAGCATCTGGTTAACTCGAATACCATTACAGTCCTTTCCCTCTATTAATTTTACGTCCCCATCCCCAATCTAATTCCTTGTTACAACCTTTAAAGATGGCCGGAAGGTGACGTTATTTAGAGATTCTTTTCATATAAGCTAGTATCGCGAAGATTCCTATGGGAATCTTATTGGAATATTCCTATTGGGATATGACAGGAGTAATTTGAATTATATTTTAAAAAAAAAAGTTAAAATATGAATTATTAATTAAATAATTAAGCGCTTATATTTAACTATTTTAAACACAAAGTCTAATTAAGTAAGTTGCGAAATTTGTTATTCCGGGAAGTGAAAATGGCGTCTGAGAAAATAATAATAAAAATATATGTGAGAAATTTTATTTATTTTTAAAGTGCATTTATTTTTTTATAATTTAAAGTGTATTGTTTATTTAAAAATTGGCATTGCACTTTAACGTCAAAATACATAAAAAAATTTTTGTCAAAATTAAATTTTAAAAATTTCAATGAAAAAATTTTTTTTTCAAAATTTACATTTACAAAACACATGAATAGCATAATGCTTTATTTTTCACATTCCCGACAGTTAAGAAATATTTTTATTGTTAGACATATTTACCCGGAAAAATTATTTTAATAAATAATTAATAAATAATTTTTAAAAATTGGCTTAACTTTCTAAAGACCAAGTGTGCGTAGGTCCCAAACAGGGGTGGGCGCATTGCGTTTTGCGTTTTTTGCGTTTTGCGTTGATTTTTGGCCTTGCGTTGCGTTTTGCGTTTTGCGTAAATTTGGCCAAAATTAACGCAAAAAATCGCAAGAAATATACCCAATCTGAGGGCAAAATCTGAAGGAAATCAGACTTATGACTTTCCAAAATTCTCAAAATTTTCGCCTGCGGCGCTTAAAAAAGGAAGAAATTTAGCTTCTTGGCCCCAAATTTTTCAAAATTTTCGCCTGCGGCGCTAAAAGTAGATCATGGAACTGTCAGAAAAATATCAGTTCAATATCTTGAGCTCCGATCTCCCTTTATCCCTCCAAATCCCCTGATATCCGCGGTATCAATTGAGAATTACAGATAGGCATTTATCCTCCGCTAACTCCCCAACCCATCCGACATTCATCAGTAATCGCATGGTATCTTTTTAAATTTCCTTGATCCCTCCAATTTTCCTCGATCTCTCCTTCATAATCGCTCTAAATCCTCTAATATCCTTCATAATCCCATTGTATCCCCTTCAAATCATTACCCATCCAACTTAATTGTATCACAAGATCAACTAGGACTCGCTGACTTATAGTAATACTTCTATTTTAACTGAAAAATGGCTAATACTCGATTTAAAAATTTTTTTCAGAATTTTGCGTTCTTGCGTTTTGCGTTTTTTGCGTTTTGCGTTGATTTTTGGCCTTGCGTTGCGTTTTGCGTTTTTCACGATTGCCTCTTGCGCCCACCCCTGGTCCCAAACACCTATTTTTATTAGCCTAGCTGACATGGTCAGACTCTGGTACCAAAGATTGTAGCCGTAATTCGTTTACATGTTTTAAAGTTGAAAATTAATATCATAGATTTTTTAAATATACATATTAAACAAATCTTTAAAAGAATGTTGCCAACTTTAAATTATTCTTTTATTACTTCGGTTATTTTAATTTTAAATCTTTTAATATTATTTAACAATCCAATTTATTCAATGCGTGCAAGTGGACGAACAATTGAGGCAAGTTAAAGAGACGGGCCTTTAGAAGACATTTTCTAATGAGGGTGTTCTGGGAAGGAGAAAATCTCCTCTTTGGTAGATTTTAGTACGTAACTGAAATTCGGTGTACTTATCACTGAAGCAGCGATAGTTTAACACTATGACCTAAAAATTCTAAATTTTCATTTTAAAATCAACAATAAAATTTCATCCCAATATTAATCATTAAAAAATATTTTATTATAGAATGAGCCAAGAAAGACTTTACTAACATATGGAGATGTTGGTTATGGTCTGTCCAAATTTGGAAGGAAAATAGAAACACAAAAATATTTTGTTCCAAAATTTCTATTGGAAAATAATTATATGCAATTGCAATTTAGAAGAAGATTTACTTCTTAATGAATATTAAAAATTATGGAAAATTATTTTACTTTTATCTGAAAGCAATCATTATTTCCAAAATCTTTTAAAGTTTAACTGATTAAATCTAGATTTAATTCAATAAAAAAAATCCTTGAAAATAATAAAGACTAATAAATAGAGTTGTGAATTTTATGTATAAGAAGAATTTAGTACAATCATGAAAGAATTTAGCAGTGTTCGGATCGAGAAAATGTAAAGTGTAAGTACAAAAAGTTCAATTTGGAAGTACACAGGAGGAAAAATTTTCAGAATATAGTTAAATTTAAATTTTTAACCAAAAAGTCCATTTGTAAGACTGTATGTACTTCCAAAATAAGTACGAATCCGAACCTTGATTTAGCACAGGCTTTGTTTAAAAAATCATATCACATGTGTTTTGGGTATCTCATTTATGTTAGGAGAGCAAGAATTTTTGGCTTTGTACGAGTTTCTCAAACTGCTCGTTGTTACTTTATAGATTGTGATTCATTTATAAGCAGTCTTCCATTTTTGGCGCCACTGCTAAAATTTTGAGAATTTGAAATGTTGTATGCAAAATAATTTCTCGAATTTCGCTATTTCTTTTTAGACTCGCGTACACCATTTTATGTCTATTTCAGTTTAAAATTTCTCATTTTTTAATTAATTTTGCATTTATTTTATACTTTTTGTGTTAATTATAATTTTTTTTGTTTCTTTATTTGACTTGAAGTAAATTTTAACACTAATGTATTAAAAAATTCAAATTGTAGTATTTCATTTCCTTATTCACACACCCGCTTAATTTAAGCAATATTGTAAATTTCAGCGAAAATAATTGCGTAAAACCACTGGTGTATTAAAAGTTTAAAATTGTATTTAACTTCCTTATTCTCACACTTGCTTAGTTTAAGCATTTCATTTTATATCTAATTAAAAATATTTTATTTTATCTATTTAATTTTTTAAATTTATTTTTAAAAATTTAAATATACAAATAATAAAAATAATGGAAACTTCAATTAATCAAACAAATATTTTATTAAATAATACTTTTCCAAATCATATGGTGAATAATTAGATTTATTTTCTTAATAATTAGTTCCTTAATGCTTAGGATCTCTATAAGCATCAGCTTGTACAATTAGAACCAGTGGTAGCGGTAGTGTGTGTACCACTACTTCTATTTCAGTAGGTTCATTGTATTCCCAGAACACTGAGAATTGAGGGATCTACACAACCAGAGGCATGGTACACGCACTCAATACTAAATCATAGGTTCTAAAATGCAAGCTGAGTAATGATTACCAAAAAGTAAGTTGCAGATTACATGCCTCCTTCTAAATTACCTACACTAATTTCTGTCCATTTAACATCCTTATACTTATTATTGAGGAAATTAAATGATTGTCAATGAAAGAAAGATTAATCATAGATTAAAATAGGGAGAGTGGAATGGGGGCTGAATAAATAAATCTCTTGGATTATCCATCGAGATTAAGAAAAAAAACTCTCTAATTAACACATTAATTTTAATTATCTTTAATTATAGCTATATAGTCAATATAAAGATGCTGGTACAAGTTCTGCATTAGTTATTCCTGCTGTATTGTTGAATGTTGCTGGAATACCCGGAATTGTTGCAAATTTGCTTTTAATTTTTGTAACAATACAAAACAAGTTAATAAAAATATTAGAAATATTTTTATTAAAAAAATAAATTTTTAAGTAAATTGAGAGGATCAGCTAATTATTTATTGGCTTTAACTGCTTTCTTTGAAATTCTCCACTAATCTGCCCATTTTCTATTTTTGTTTATAACAATTAGTGGCATCAATTTCATTAATTATTCTACAGCTATAATATTCCAATTACATTCAATTTTTGGAGTAACAGCAGCACAGATGTCTATGGCTTCAACTGCTGCTGACAGACTTTTATCTGTCCTATTTCCACTAAAATACTATAAATTAAATATTCGTCTTTACCTCACAATTCATTCAATTTTGGCTTTTATTAGCGGTATTTGGATGTCAATAAATGCGATTAATTTGTCAAATAAATATCCGACACTCCCAGTTACTGGATCTCTTGCTGATCTGTTAGTTTTAGATATGGAAATAATTTATAGTTTTATTATGCTTCTATGTGCAATTAATATTTTATTATATTTATTTGTTTGGATTGTTGTAAGGTGGTTTCATTCAGGTTTGGAAAACTGAAAAGTTTTTCCTTTTCATATTAAATTTTAGGTAATAATCACGCGGGTAGTCAATCAGATACTCAATCACGTCTTCTAAAATCTCTAATTTTAATTGTCTCAATAGTTATTGGAGGCTATATAATAGGCTATATATGTAAAATAATTGTTGATCATTTCTTCATTTTAAATGATATACAAGTAGAAAATAAATTTTGGAAATTAAAATTTAAATAATATTTTCAGATTTGGTCAGTTAATGAGTTTGGAGGAATTCTTCTAAATATTGGCGCTTCAGCTGAGGCTCCAATACTTTATATTTTTAGGTTAATTTAAAAGTTAAAAGTAGAAAACAGGCTTTTTTGTATTTTCTCACTTAATTCCCTTGGGGAATTTTTTTCAACTCTTCCTTGGTATAGGGAATTAATCAAGGGAGGGGAATTATTCGAGTTTTGGCATTTGAACGTGCAATGGGGTGGCATTCAAGAGAGAATTATTGTTTCATTATTTGTGAGAGGGGAATTAATCGAGAAAATACGGTATACTAAAGATCGAACAAATTCTGTCTGTCAATTATATATCTCTCTTTAGGAAAATTAATTTAAATTATATCAAAATAATTCTTAAATTTATTTAAGTTCATTCTATCGTGAAGCTATCAACAAACAATTAAGAAACCTTTTTTGCAAAAAATCAACTCCTAAAAATGTAATTTCCGTCATGCCTGGTCTATTTAATAATAGTGGAGGAGTTGGCGATAAAGGAATTAATGGAAAAACAAAACAATTGCCAAATAAAACTAAATGAATTATTGTAATCAAAAAAAGTTCAACAGTTTTTTAAATAAATAATTTTAAAATTCATAAATATTTAATTATAAAATTTGTCACATCTATGTATTAGAGTTGGTCACGGTACCGTATTACCGCGGTATTTTTACCGATACCGAATACGGTACCGCACAATTTTAAAAAAATCTGTATTTATTCGGTATCGGTATTTTACCAAAAATACCGATACCGAAAAATCGCGTTTGCCTAACACTAGTATGTATAATGTTTTATATTTTATTCATTATTTTTACACCAAACCATTTTATATTGAGATTAGAACAAAAGTTAAGCGATTGGGCAGGAATCGAACCTGAGACCTTTTAAAGCGCATGTTGGAATTAGCTTTTATTTGCTGGACTCTGCCACTAATCTCAGGAACCAGAACTTTTGCTCTATTCTTCTTTTATTTTTTAACCCCCGACTAAACTTTTTAAATGTTTCCAGATAAATTATCCCTAAAGTATTCATGTACATATTAAACTAAACTATGTCTTGATTATCAATTAGTAAATGGATAAATGTGATATATTGAACACTTGCTATTATTAATCTACACCTTTGTATCACAAATCGAAATTTAAACATTCCGGATTTAATATATTAAGAAATAAGTTGAGAAATTTCAGGATGATTTATCATTTTATAAAAAGAATTTTGACAATATGCCCATTGATATTTTATTTTAATTATCAACAAATTGTATTCTTATGTGTAGTTCATTCTCGTATTTTAAAATCTTTCCACAATCATTCTATATTCAATTATCTTCACTATCCTGTTGTTGATCATCCAGAGTGTTATCTGTTGGTTGTTGTTCACTGCTGCTAGAATGAGAAAAAGGACGGGGAAAGCAACATCCACGCGGGGGTGGGCCCAAAATTGAAGGAAGAATAAACGGCACTTGTTGACGAACTTCGGGGGAGGCTTGCTTATAGGCGTTTTTAATTTGCTGACATTCGGCCAAACGAGTTATGGTATCATCTTGACGAATACTCTGGAAGTTATGAAATTGAGGGGGGAGGGGGGGGGGTGAGGAAATTTTTGAAATAATGAAAGGTTACATTAGAATATTTTTCTAATTTAGTCAAATTTAATTTTATTTGTAACTAACCCAAATTTGGTTAAATAACGTCAAGGCTCCCCCTGTCAGGTTTTGGACAACTCTGTTATGGAATTGTTCAGCATCTCGTTGTAATTGTGAAGTGAAATTATTGTAGGGTTGCTTAAAAATGAATGTTTTATAGTAAATCTTTTGTTTTCTGGAAATATTATGAAATCAAAAATTTTTTAAGAATTGGGGATATTTTTAGTTTTCATGAATAGTGATCAGTTTTGACAAAAACGAAAATAATAAATTAGAGTGGGGATCTAGGCCATACTTTTAAAATAATACGGATATTTCCGACAACCCCAAATCCCACTTCTCAACAAGGAAAGAGTGGGGTCCTTAACCCAATCCCAAACGTTAAAATTCAAAACAATTTTTAACAACCAAAATTCCATTATTCTGTGCCCAATTCTGCCGTGCCCGCACAAAATACCGAATTCTCAAAATCGCGAATAGGCTAAAAAAGCTCAAAATCGCGAATCGGTAAAAATATCTCAAAATATGGAATCGGCCAAAAAAGCTCAAAATATGGAATCTTAAAATATCGAATCTCAAAATCGCGAATCGGCCAAAAAAGCTCAAAATACCGAATCGGCTAAAAAGTAGTTAAAAATGTCGAATTTTTTAAAAACGAAAAGGGCCGTTTGAGTGCCGCTGCAGGTCTTTTTCTGATTATTCAGGGATCTGTAACTCAGTCCAATCAGGTCGGATTTCATTGATTTTGGTATCATTCGATGCAGCTCGACGTGCTCTTTCAGATGAGCTATCATTCGGAAACTCGAAATTCGGTTCGGGATTCGAAATTCGGTTCGGGGATAGCTATGGCCCAGCTGCTTCAATATTCTAATGTTTTATTTTAAATTTTCCCAGTAAAATTTTTCAAAACCAGTCCTTGAATTTCCTTTAAAAATTGTTCTTTTAAGACACTTATCAGATTTATTTTTGATTTTTACCTTCCTATAAAAACTATCCAATAATAATAAAATAATTAAAAAATAATTTATAAATTACCAGGACTCAAAGATTTTTAAAAAGCAAACTCCAATCATAGTTCATAACTTTTTAATCTCCCCAATTTAAAATTTTTTAATAGAGAATGGGTAAAGTTTATAGTTTTTACATATTTAGTATTTTTGTGTAAATAAATGAAATATACATATGAGTAATTATTAAGTCCACAAACAACTAAAAAAGTTATACGTCACTAATCCATTGTTTAAAATTTTTTAAAATATTTTTATAGCATGCTATTTTATAACATGATTCTCCTTTTTTATTGGCGATTACGTTTATATTTTTTGTTTTTTGATTTTTAAAATAGTTTTTCTAATTTTGTGTGTTACTTGGAATAACATTTTAGGAGATCACCTCAGTATACCACTACTCAATATATGTATTACTCCAATAGTATATATAGAATCGCCCCTACCCCTACATATCGAAAGTTTTAAATCTTGTTTGAAATAGCTGTTTGGAATATCGGGGCTATTTCTTTCCTTCAGCTAGTGCAAAAGGCGTGGCACGACACTTGAGACAGGTTGCGTCGTAATTACGAATACAAATTACGGCGACTTAATTACGATTACGAAAATATCGGAAAAAATTACGAATTACGAAAATAAAAAATGAAAATTACGAAAAAATATTATTCCAAAAATACATCTCGTATGTAAAATGTTTTTTCTGTAATTCACCGATATTGTAGTAGATCCCTTGCTCCGTGCAACCCATGTCTGGATTTGGGTCGAGTTCCCCAAATCCCACAAATATCCTGATATCCCCTTTAATCCCTCCAAATCTAATATCCTCCTTAATCTGGACAATTCACTCATTATCCCCTTTTTTCCTTCAGATACCCTGATTAAACGAAGTCTTCAGTGTGTAGGTTTTCAGGATTTAGGTCATGAGGTCTCCCTTAAATCTGTCAACAATTAAATCGGGGATAAAAGGAGATTTTAGGGATGGCAGAAGATTTGAAGAGGAATTTTTGAAAATTTTTTACAACATTTATTAGTTTTACAAGCAATATTTTTCATTTTTTTCTTTAAATTTCCCAGTACCGAAAATTTGGGATTACCGCGGTACTGAAACTTGTTCGGTACGGTTCCGGTACCGGGAGTACCGAAAAGTTCGGTACTTTCGGGAGTACCGCGGGAGTACCGAACCGTGTCGAACACTAGTTAAAATAAAAAATAATTGGAAAGATAAACAGCAATTCATTTATTAAAAAATATTGAGGAAAAAAACTTTTTGTATTGAGATCGAGAACAACAAGAAATTTAAAAGCCCTAAAAATGCCCTATCTCGTACAGGCAAAAACCACTTACGGGGTTTTAAATTTTTAAATTTATAGGTTTTAAATATAAATTGCCAACATATGTACTTAACCAATTTCTAAATCTTTGATATTGCTTTATCCATCTTCCAAAAAAGACTTTCATATTGACAATTCTGTCATCTCCATTTTTCTTTTGATTTTAGTAAGTTATTTTTGTCACCAGTATTAAAAATCCGTAATCTTAGCCTCAGCCCTTCAAATTTTTATATCAATTTCATTAAACTTCCATTAATTAGTTATTAAAAATTATATTCAAATTATTAATTTTATTTAAACTCTCATTAACTATGTTATTAAAAACAATATCCTTAAGAAATAATAAAATTTTTATTTTATAAATTCACACGCAATTTAATAAATAATTAAATAATTCTTTTGAAATTGTTTTTAACATGAGGATATTTATAGTGGGAATAAATAATAATGTATATATTTGTTTTTTGGTGAAATTATAATGAGAAGTTTTTTGGTAATTTTGAAATTGAATTTTTAAAAGTTTTAAAGTCCAAAGATTATAAAAAATAATTTAAAGTTTCACACATAAGATGCACTTTTATTTACATTAAAGTTCATTTGCCCTTTAAATAAAAGTTGAAAAAGTGCCGATTTATTGAATAAGCAGGAAATCATATGTATTGAATTTAATTGAAGTTTCCGCTTATTCAATAAATCGGCACTTTATAAAATTTTATTTAAAGGGCAAATGAACTTTAATGTAAATAAAAGTGCATCTTACGTGTAAAACTTTAAATGATTTAGGGTTGTGAAATAATGTCGAGGTTTTATATTTAATCGAGATTATTAAGGATGGAAACCGGGAAGATGAATTACAGAAATTACTATAGAATTGAGCATAACGAAGCTGGCGATTGTTTAAATTTCGTAGATTCTTTCTCTTGTTGCTTTTGCTATTATTAAGGACATCACTGTTTGTGATTTTGAAATGGCTATTAAGTGTAAAATTTCATAAGATATGCCATTGTTTTTAAATTGATGTTTAATCACTCCAAAAATCGTTTAAAATGAAAAGCAATTAGTGTATTACGGTATATAATAT